CGAAGATTGCCGAAGGGATTCTGCAATTAGTTTACTTCGAATATCCCCCGCCCCACAGATTTGGAAGTTTCTGGGGTTGGGATGGGTTGGGCACTTCAGGGACACTCTGGGGTGGGATATGGGTGATGGGCGAGGAGCAGACCGGGCAACGAAAAGAGCTTCGTTTAACAACTACCAACCCCACACCGAGGGTGAGGAAAAAAACAACCGACCGGGCTTCTGGATGGCACTTTTCCTTTCCTCTGAGATTTTATAGCCTTCCGGAATCTCCTTTTCACACCTTGAGACCCTGATTCTCATATCTGGTCTTTGGTCTAACTCGCACCCTTGGAATCGCATGCCAGGTTAACCGCTCACTCCCTTCTTGCAGTGTTCGCCCGTGATGACAGTGTAACAGCCTTTGAGACCAGATGTAAAGGAAAGACTCATGAATCCTTCTTTCTTGGACGTGCGTTTGTGGGGTCCCTTTACCACGCTTGTTCCACAGTCGTTGCAGTCCCAGGGGCAGCGCCTGCTGTTCTGGGCTTAGTGCCCTTGCCACAAACCTGGGTCGAGTGAAAATGCGTGGAGATCCTACATGCACGTAGCATCACATTGCCTGGTGATGGTCTAAGAGTTGCGAGTAGCGCACATGTGCATTTGCCAAAAGATGGAGCGCCATGATAGAACCAGTTCAACCTTAGACATCCGGCAGGCCGACCGTTGTCAACTAGCCCGGCCGCGCCCTCCCCTTGCATGCCGAGTGTCTGCACCCAAGGGTAAGCCACGTCAGTCTGCTGCCTTACAGAGACTCGAGCACACGACGATCCCTCCGAAACATTGCATGCTCCACCCGGAAGTGCTGCAGCATGCAGCCCCTTCAGAAGAACTTATTGCCTTTCCTGGAAGACATCGTGCGGCAGCCACACCAACATCACCGGTAGGTGCAGCCCAAGATTCTGTAGAACCGTGGCGAATTCTTCGGGAGCTTCGGTTGGCATCCTCTGGCAGAGCAGTACAGATACGGATGCAAGACATCGTGATCACAATGTCGATTTGGTTGGGAGTACTGTGGGCAACCGATAGACGTTCCCGATAGCTAATGGCTCTGAATCTTGGGAGGAATAAAGTTGCAGAAGGGTGACCCCAGTAGGTTTATAGTTTATGGCAGCATCAGAACTAGAATTCACAGGCGTTGGTTGTCTTCACATAGTTTCCAATACTTCCAGTTTCGCCAAGATACCAGGAGAGGCCGTGGCCCTGCGGTGCAGCAATGGCAAGCAGCATGAGGTCACTGCAGTGTGTGTGTGTGTGTGTGCGCGCGCGCATGTGCGTGCACGTTGTGAGGGTATGTGCACGTGCACGTGGGCGTGCGTGCAGGCATGTGTGCGTGCTTGGCTGTAGGTGTGGCTGCGTCTGTCTGTCTGTCCGTCTGTCCCTCTGGGTGTCTCTGTCTGTGTGCGCGTGTGTGTGTGTGTGTGTGTGTGTGTGTGTGTGTGTGTGTGTGTGTGTGTGTGTGTGTGTGTGTGTGTGTGTGTGTGTGTGTGTGTGCGTGTGTGTGTGTGTGTGTGTGCGCGCGTGTGCGCGTGCCAAGGAGTCGACCCCTATAATGATGGAGCACTGGTAGAGCATGTGTCGACTTCTGGCGCACAAGCCGTGAACCTCCCCCGTGTACCCTCGTGCCTCTTCAGCGGCTGGCTTGCTTTGAGCCACTGCTGACTTGTGCTGCAGCCTCCTGATCCACTCAAACGGACTTGCTACCGGTGCTCCTGAGGAACTTCTTGATTGATCTTGATGGATTCGCATGGTAGGGCAGAAAAAATCACAAACAACTGCACAGTGCTCGGCACACATAAGTATCATAAGTTCAAACTGGCCGGCCGAGCAGCGAGAGCAGAGTGGCTAGCGGCCATTGCGTCTGCAGCAAGGCTGGAACCAGTGCCTCGACAGGTTCTTCTGCAACAAATCCTGGAAAGCGGCAACTGCATGTACGAGTATGGCCGTCCTTCCCCCTGCCTTCCCGGCAAGACAACCCATGACCGCTTCCTCTGCTGCGGACAGCAACTCTGAGCGTGCTGTAGGCTCCGATACCGCAGCCTGCCAATGTCGGGCAGCAAAAACACAGGGCTGCGAGCCGTGCGAAGCAGACGTCCCCGTAGGCACTCGATGGCTTTTCTCAGCCTTCAAGAGACACGCTGTGGCACTGGAGAAGTCGTACCTGGGCATGGACAAATCTCCTTCCGGACTGCCGCTGCGCAAGTTGCATAGGCGCAAGTGGATTTGCCATGCCCGTCACAAAGACCACAATGGGAGTCAACAGGGCCTCTTCGTGCGTTGCCTTTCCAAGCCCAAGCCCTCTACTGCTCCTGTATTGCAGCATGCAGACTTCAAAGGGTGGCCACAGGCTTCGTTCAGGCTGTCGACAACCTCCGGCCCATCCAGCAGGAAGTGGCCTCACAACCGAAGGCAAGCAAGAACCAAAAAACACTCAAACTCATGGTGACGTCTGGCGGGCCTTTCTCAACCAAATCTGCCGCTGCGCGGAAAACTGTATGCTGATGGTCAGCAAGATCTGGCATCAGGAAACTCAGCAGCAGCATCCATGGTCCGTCTCTCAGACCTTCGTGCTATTTTGTGTGCATGGTCATCGAGAACTCATTACAACAAATGGAGCCGTGCTTTGAGTTGCTTCCGAGAAGATGGGCGCTGGAATGCGTTTGGCACTAGTTTCTGGCGCAGGCAACGAATTTCAGCTGAAAGTAAAAGCAAGTCTTTGCACCTTCGCTCTGGTCTCCGCATTGGGGCAGCTCCTCGAATGGTGGACAAGGAAGTGTCGCAAGAGGATATGATTGCAGGGGTAGCAATGTGCTAGCTCAAAGATGGCATTTCATCAAGATTGAAGCACATGGCTATTTTCCCCCTGCCTGCCTGGTTGGTGAACAGCCTGTCCTGTCCGGACCACGCCCCCGATTTCCTAGGCAAACTTCAGCAGCCGAGTGATGACATCCGTGTGCCAAATTAAATTGTTCGTGCCCTGGAGCTCTTTGCCTGAATGAAGCACGCCCTACAGTACGAGTAGCACCAGGGGTGAAAGGTTGCAGGCGAGGCACAGTAGCCTTGCTTGAGCCTCCTCAGCTGCAGGAGCAGGAGTGGGAGTGGCCAGGACAATGCTTTCCTGTTCATTGCAGAGAATCATGCCATGCTGTTCATCAGACCCAGTTTTGAGGCGACAATATGCCATCGCACATCATGCCGCCCAACACGGCTGTTCCAAGCAAGAGAGGGGATCCACAAAGGTTTGCCATCTCAGGTGAGCAGCGATCAACCCGAAAAATGGCCAATCAGTCTCGAGCACCAGTCCTGCAAACGATGAAGTGAAGAAATGGCAGCTTTGTGCGCGCCGCTAAGCAGCCAACTCTTCGCGCTTTACAGCAATGAACCCGTCCTGCCCATCCTTCCAAAGAGATATCCTCGATAGCGCGCTGGAACAAGGCGGATCCTTGGAGATCGGGATTAATTAACCCCCTGATTCTTAGTAGGGAATGATAAAGGGTATATGTACCTCCATTCCCTACTAAGAACCAGCCAGTTAAACCTCAATGTGATGGGAACTTATGGGCTCAGCAGAGACCTGCTGATATATGGTGCTGTCCGTGCTTTCCCCTGTTGATTATCCAGACATGCGTGGGCCAATGTAGGAGTTTACGACATTAGGGGTACCTTCTTGGGGTCCTTATAAAAAGGGGATCGTGCTGTCCTACTATTTGGGGGTCATTTTACCGGACCTCTATTTTCGTAAACTCCCCCTTTGCTACTGAGCCGGGCATCGGTCTGGGCCTGGCTCGGCGCAAAAGGACGAATGCAGCACGGCAGAAACGACCCCGATGACGCAACCGCGCCAGACCTTCAGGGCGGCTCCGTTCCCTTGCCTTCTCGAACTGTCGCAATGGATGCTTCTACACTTGATTCCGATTTTGACTTTTGCTGTGAAGGTGGTTCGCGTTTGCCGCTCTCAAGATCTTGTTGCAACGTGCGCTTGCGTACCATTTCCTGACTCAGCAATGCAAGCCTGGCCATCAAAATAGAACCACACCAATCTTCGCAAATTCCCGCCTGAGGGGTCCGTGCAACCCAATTCGCGGCCACACAAAGTGTCATCCATCGGATTGGCCTTGGGTTTGGCGGTTCGTGAACAACATCACGCTCGCACGAGGCAAACAAGGCAACTGTGAAAAGGTCCGCTTACCAGAAGTCAACCCACAAGTCACTATTACTGAGTGTCCGTGAGCAGCTTGCCAAGAAACTTCAAGTCATGGACAACAAAAACAGCAGATGCAGTTTTGAGATTCAAGATTGGTAGGCTATAGGCCTGATTCATCAGGAAGGGGGGGGGGCATGACTGGGGGGAGGACGCTGCAAGGTTGCAGGTCCGGAAGGTGCTGGTCTAGGCCAAGCGTCGAGTCCGCTGCGGGCCCCTGGCTCCATGACTCCAGCTCGCGCCCCAGCCAAGCCCAGTCCACGCCTGGGTCACAAACAGGGGCACACTGAAAATTCACTGAAACACCAAAGCTGCCAGCTGCATAGAGCTCAAAAGAAAGTGGGGCACAGCGTCTCTCGATCAGCTGGGCGACTTGAGCCCGGACTGTTGCAACCAATCGACACGTCAGCCATGAATCGTGCAAAGAATTAAAGCCATTGCAAATTTGCCAGTGTTTGCTGCTTGTCTGCTGTGAGTCGCACAGTCAGATGAAATTGTTCTGCAGCTGTTTTTCATTTCTTAATTTGTCTGCCCAGCCTCTACTCTGCTCATGCGAGGTGTTGTCCGTCCATGCTTTCCTCTGCTTGCGGTATCTTGCACTTCTTCCCAGAGCCTAAACTGGGCCCAAACCAAGTTTTCGGTTCCAAGCTGAGCTGGAGGGGTGATCGGATGGGAATGCGGTCAAGCCAGTCATGCGTTTGTCAGGACGTGTGCGAACTGCCAAGGCCTGGTTAGTGTATGTCAGTGTAGACAGGGCCACGACAGCGCGACAGTCAGCGCGAGGACTCTCTTTCTTGGTGGGAGCCGTCTTCGATATGCCGGATACCTGTGTGACTGCTCAGAGGTTTGTTGACTCGCACGGGGCAATGCTGCAATTTCCGAACCGCAAGCTTCGGCCTCCGCACCTTTGGCTGTTGGCTTCGTGCATCCCCAGTCCTCCTGTAATTAAGCCAAGGGGATCGTACGGACGCGGGTCAGCGCTCAGGGCCACCAGGGTCAGGATCAGCATATCGACTTGGAAAATACATGACAATGCACAGTGTCGGGTGATTTGAGTTGATCAGGTCACACCATCCTGGACCACGATTCAACCCTACGTGCCTAATCCCGAAGTGGATTTTGGCTGATGCGAGTGCTGGTTTAGGGTTTAGGGTTTAGGGTTTAGGGTCTAGGGTTTAGGGTTTAGGGTCTAGGGTTTAGGGTTTGGGGTTTAGGGTGCCATGCAACTGCTCTACGCCGGAAAGGGCTGCTGGAATTCCCTGCGTCCTCCGGTGCCTCCGGCAGCGATGACGCCATTCCTGCTGCATCATTTTCAAAACCACCTCATTACATACTGTTTTGACAGCTTCAATGGTAACCAGGATGGGCTATTAGGCCCTATAAGAACTGGTTAAGTATACACTGAGTCTCGACCCAGAAACCTGTTCAATATCAGGTTTCTAGGTGGACGGTGTTGCTTCTGAACACGTCCAAAACGGCAAGTTTTGACACTATATGATACCTACTTTTAAAGCCAGTACAGTATCATATAGTATCTTATAGTGTAAACCAGGCACTTGTCTGCTACCTTCAGATCAGAGGACGTCGGCAGGCGGTGTCCAGGCCTTCTAGGAATCTTGTTGACCGAAACTATGTCTCTCCTGCGGAGAAACCCTAAACCTGAAGCCCTGCTGATATTTGAGGCTGGAGTAACATTGAAGAAGCTCGACGCTACAGTGGCTTTGGTCTCCGACCCTCTTGCCCGAACAGGGCGCATGCATCCACCGTCCCCACCCACCTTCGGAAGCCATGGACGATGCAAAAAATGCTGACAGCTCCTCTGACATGGGCTGAAGGCTTTGTCTTGCTGGAAAAGCATTGAGCAATATGGGCTGTCCTCGCGCGCAAAGGCCTCGCCTGGTGCCTGGGCAGAGTTCTGTATAGGCATGCTGGAACCTTTGCTTGCTTTCATGCCGGATACCGCCCAGCAGAAACCCTAAACCCTAAACCCTAGGACTCCGGCCAGGAGTGGAGACAGGTCTCCTTCGCCTTCAACTGGCGCCTTTGGCATATTCGGTCGTCGACCTGGCAGCAGCAGCAATCCGTGACCTCTCGGGTTTAGGGGGTTTGGAGTTTGATTGCCCTCGGGACGTTTTGCAGTACCAAGCCAGCGAGGCCAAGTGAGTCACTGAGGCTCAATGACGAGGTCGAACCTGTGAAATTCGAAGAGATGCATTCGTGGGCCCTAAACCCTAAACCCTAAACCCTAAACCCTAAACCCTAAACCCTAAACCCTAAACCCTAAACCCTAAACCCTAAACCCTAAACCCTAAACCCTAAGCCAGGGCCACCCCGTCCTGCAGAGAAGACCGAGGCTTCCATCAGCTCCAATGACCATTCGACCTCTGGGAGGCAGTCCTGCAGCTTTCCGGCAGCTTGTTCCTTGAGTTGACAGTTGACATCCGAAACCCTAAACCCTCACCCCATTGTTTCTAACCCGAATCCCTCAACCCGAGACCCTTCGCACACTGCTGTCTGCTTGTCCTCCTTGCCTTGCGACGCCTCCTCAGGCGGGGCCTAAGATGAAGAACTCGTAGCAGGGGTCAATGACGACGATAGCACGAGAGAGAAGATAGCACGCGTCTAACTAGGAGAGGCCAGATGCGGAGGGAGTACAGCATCCCTTCTTTTATCTTGTCAACTGAGCAGTGAGGGGGCACATTCCTCAATGGATGATGCTTTGGGGTCTGCTGCTTTCGACGATGTATGCTTGAACTTGTTGGCTGTGAAGCCGTCTCGCTATAAAGCTGGCCTGTGTTACCGCAATTTAGCCATGAGTGCTGACAGGTCTGACAAAACAAAGCCGTTGACATCCAATTTCAGAGGACAGAGGTCATGAACATCCATCTGATGTTGTGGCCATGCGAGGGGGGAACCCGTCGGTTGCTTATCACGCTGAAGTACATACCTACTGCATGAAGCAGAATCATGTCAAACAGTTTCGTTTCTCATGACAACACGACTTTAAAGCCCAGGCTACTGGTACAGACACAGCGCGCTGTTCAAATCACTCAGGGCGTTGCGCACGGGAGCTCTTCATCCGAGTCGTACAAGACTCCAGCATTCTCCCGCCGCTCCTGCACGGTGTGTTGGTGCTTTTCCCATGCGTGTAAAACAACGCAAAGGTAGCGACTCATGTTACTAGAGCTGTTGAGGCCATCTTGTGGTAAGGCTCGGCAGAATTCTGCTCCGATGGGTTTCTGAGTGCGAGTACCCGTTGCTTCATGCTGTCACATACAGCTGATGGAAACGATTAGAAGCATGGCAACGATGACGATGCTGAGACTGCGACGCTGTTGTTTTTTGTATGTTCTGCTGGTGTTGCTGCTGCTGTTGCTACCCTGCCCAGTTGTGTAGGCTCTTTTGCTTCACATGCACGTGTCCCGAATTGCAAGCATGCGCAGTCCTCTGTAGGGGCAGTCGGTGAATCTGCGACAGCTGGCGCAGATGGAAAGCTGGCTGATTCGAGCAGCTCCTGAGTCCTTTCAGCGGACATTGCGATTCCCCAGTACTGCCCCTGATCTTGTACAACATGTGTCCGGCAGCTTGACTTGTCATCCGTCTAGAGCTGACTGGACTATTTAGTGCACTTTCAACGTGCATTCAAAGAGAGGTACTGCCAGTTGCTTGCAGCGAACAGCCATTTGGAGGGCTCCAGTCCTTTGGCTCAATTCCGGTGGAGCCTGAGCTGCTCTGCTGATTTGCAAGTGTGCGTCGAGCACTGTTGCATAGAGCACTGTGAACAAAAAGTGGTAGCCGCCACTCTGCCCACGCTTTCGGGTGCCTACAGACATTCTGACGTCAGAATGAGCTTTGGAGTGTGTGCAGGCTTTGCCAACGGGATTCTTCGGTTTGGGTTGTCCGATTCAACACATGACGTAAGACCCCTCATGTCAGAATCATGTCAGAATCTGCTAATGCCATAGCTCGCTGTGGCAAGGCCGAGCCCAAGGCTTCTGGAGGATCGTCCACGCAATCTGCGCTGAAAGCTATGATTTGCAACCCAGCTGCTGCACTATATAGTATAGTGCGGAAATGTGAGTGCTATTGATCACGCGTATGTTGCCGACAGATGTGAGAGCCACGAGCAATCCTCGCTAATCGCTGTCATGTGCCGCCTGCAGCGTCCACCTCATCCCCAACCTGCGAGCGGGGAACAGTAGAGCGATAATCAGTTGCATTGTGATTTCCAAAGCGGGAGTTTTTCTTGTCAACAGCTGTGGCAGCCTTTGCTGCTGCATTTTTTTAGTGAAAGCAGTCGGACATGTCATGTATGTCAGGACTCCTAGCAGGACTCTGATCACAACAAAAACGTCGATAATGTGTCGTGCTGGCACGGCCTTGGCAGCTTAATCGCTTCCCTTAAGTATCACGAGCTTAATGCTGCTGGATTCGATCTTCAGAATTCCCGAATCCACTCTGCAAACTTCGTGAGAATTGCAATATGCTGCTGGGAGCCCGCCAGGTGCACTTGTGCTTTCTGCTGACAAGCCGCCCCCGCCAATTTTCGGCTCGCCGTCTCTGGACCTGGCAAGTTGATATACAGTTGGCACTTGAATCACTTGAGGCATCCTGAGGATGCTGTTGCATCAGGAGCAGGAGAATGCCATGTATGAAGCGCAACAGGCCAAGAAATGCTGCAATCTCATTCTCTAAATTCTCTAGTCGGCAATTGCCAGCCAGCTCTGCGAGGCGGTCGAGCGCCGAACCTGCAGCCATACCGCCGCGCGGAAAGAGCCAGGTTGCACGGGAACGCTGAGGCAGACGGTGCTTTTTGCAAAATGTAGGCGCAAGCTTCGGTGCCAAATGGTGCCCGTCTCTCCTCATTGGGAAGACGAGGCGAGGTTTTTGCACAGGACATTAGCATAGCCGGCGTACTCGGCCGTGCCACAAAATTTTTCGAAAGACCGGCAAATCTGTAGGCCGCTGTGGGCACGTTACTCACTTGCCAGTGGCTAGAGAAAGTGACCGTGCAGGAACGTACCTTGAAGACTGCTGCAACATGTAAACCTTCAGGCCTGCAGAGGACCCCGATTCCTGCACAGCACACATCCTCTCGACCCCAGCGATTTTGCTGGGAGCCGCGTGACTCCAAGCCTGTTTTTGACCTTAGCTGACGAAACTGCATTTTGACAGCTCTATTGCTTGTGGCGCCAACGGTGCGAGGTTTGCTGCTGTCACAGAATGTTTCACACCCCGAAAGACACCGGCAGCTGTTTGGCAAAGCCACTGAACATGACTCCACCATGGGCCCATCTTACCAGACGGGCAGTCCCGAATCCCATTGAATGGCACTGCGCGCGCTCTACTCGGATTAACAGCTGATGTGCTCAAGAATATTGCCGATTGTCATCCAAAACCCATTCCCCTTAGAGCTCAATCCTAGGTGATGAAGCAGGTCCGCAACTCAACCATGAATCGTCCTGTGCAATCTTCCTGCGCCTCCCATGTTTTACTGCACATCCGTTTTTGACACCTCTGTGTTCCGTTTAAGTCCTTTTTACTTCGTGGAAAGTCCTGGAACAGCCTTGACAGTGAAGGCATCGCTTCCACGGAGGTAAAGTACACAATTATCTCCCCTCCTGCTTTCCCTTTCTCCCGTTCTGAAGCACGAGAAGGATTCCCGCAAGGGAGCAGCAAGTCCCACATTAAATTATGCCCAGCTGCTTGTTCAGTTCTCCGGCCGCTTGTTGCCGCACTTTCTGCAGAAGACGCTGTCGAAAGCAAACACGTTGCCGCAGACTGGACAGTCGATCGCTGGCCCCTGCACAGCATTCAGGGGGCATGCTGCATCCTTCACTTCCGAGACCCCTGGGAGGATCCAAAAAGTAGAGCCCCCAAATAGTGCCCTACACTGTTATTGGGTCATTCTGAGGAACCCTTAAGGGGACCTACTTTTTGGATCCTCCCAGGGGTCTGGATTCTCATGAGAAGGAAGTAGGAAGTCACGCCAAAGGGTGCCTGTGCTGCGGAGCTTCCGGCCTTGGCCAAGGCAAGGATTTAGGGTTTAGGGTTTAGGGGTTTAGGGGTTTAGGGGTTTAGGGGTTTAGGGGTTTAGGGGTTTAGGGGTTTAGGGGTTAGGGGTGCAAGGCGATCTCGCTGAGGAGGGAGCCATCATCGGCTCCATGGGCACCGAGGCCGCAGCCTGAGATGAGAAGGACCGCTGCGGCATATGCCAGGTTGGGAGACCGCGGGATGCACTGTAATATAGTAGAAGCCTAGCCTGAGAGTAAAGTGTAGGGACTCCCAGCACTACTTGTCCTCAAAAAGGTTTCCAACTTTTTGGGGTTTACTGTAGGATGTCACAGAGCGGTTTTGAGCTCCCAGCAGAAGCCGCAGGGAGATAGGCGCCGGCCTGAACCGACACAGAGGATGTTTGATATAGACCCCCAAAGAGCAGGATTCCCATTTTTACAAGGACCCCCAATAAGGTACCCATGGTACCCCTATGTCCGGAAACCCCATTTGCTGTCAACTCATTGTCAGTTGCTGCTGCTGAGGTATCAGCGGCTGCGGCATCACCGGTTGCGGCGGGGATATAACCTCCAGCCGTTCCAGCCTGCACCGAGACAAGACGACATGCCGTCCACTTCCTCGAAGTTGACGCGGCTGAGGCGGCAACACGTGCAGCAGAGGTGTAGCCTCCAGCCTTCGGTCCCAACATGCATCCGGAAATATTGAGCATGTGTGTGGTTTCCGACGTCAATGCCTTTGATCTGTTCAAGGTCTGTCCTATTCTGTCCTGTAAGATTTATTTTGAGGTGCAGTGTTGACACATTACAGCTCACAAAGCCTGCCGTGAATGAGCTCTCTCGATGGAGCTAACTACGGTTCTGTCTTCCCCAAGCAGTGCCCTGTCGAGCTCCTTCATTCTTCTTAGACCCTTTGGACTGGGCAGGCATGGTTGCAAGCATTGCCGGGCGGTGGAACTGCTATGCTTGCTGGACCTTTGGCATGCCTTTGCTGCAGCGAGCTTTGACAACGAGCTCACGACTTGCTAAGCTGCTGGCAGGAGGAGAAGCTGTTGTCATGGGCATGGGCATGGCAGCCCCAGCCAGCATCGCGGCGCTGGACCCCTTGGCACAGAGCATGCGGTGTGCACTGCTCGCTTCCCGGTAAGTAGGTGATAGAATTTCCACATTTTCCAATTTCATCAAATTTCTAAACTCTCAAAGGTGCGCGCTGGTTGAGCCACCATCCCGGCACCCTCCATGGGTGCCCCAACTTGGGGGATAGTTGCTGTCAACTCATTGTCAGTTGCTGCGGCTGAGGTATCAGCGGCTGCGGCATCACCGGTTGCGGCGGGGATATAACCGCCAGCCGTTCCAGCCTGCACCGAAACAAGACGACATGCCGTCCACTTCCTCGAAGTTGACTCGGCTGAGGCGGCAACACGTGCAGCAGAGGTGTAGCCTCCAGCCTTCGGTCCCAACATGCATCCGGAAATATTGAGCATGTGTGTGGTTTCCGACGTCAATGCCTTTGATCTGTTCAAGGTCTGTCCTGTAAGATTGAGCTGCAGTGTTGACACATTACAGCTCACAAAGCCTGCCGTGAATGAGCTTTCTCGATGGAGCTAGCTAGGTAAGCGAGCTACGGTTCTTTCTTCCCCAAGCAGTGCCCTATCGAGCTGCTATGCTTGTCTGACCCTTGGCATGCCTGTGCTGCAGTAAGCTTTGACAGCTCACTACTTGCTAAGCGGCTGACAGGAGGAGCTGCTGTTGTCATGGGCATGGGCATGGCAGCCCCAGCCCGCATCGCGACGCTGGACCCCTTGGCACAGAGCATGCGGTGTGCACTGCTCGCTTCCCGGTACGTAGGTGATAGAACCTTCGCATTTTCCAATTTCATCCAATTTCCAAACTCTCAAAGGTGCGCGCTGGTTGAGCCACCATCCCGGCACCCTCCATGGGCGCCCCAACTTGGTAGCCTGTAAACTCCGGCTTTGTTGTGCATGCAACCCGGCCACGTCGCAACATCGGACATATCAAGGCAATACCGGCAATACCTGCTGCAGGCCTTGGGAGTTGGCACTCGACAGGAAACGGTACCTGCAATGCCAAGGTCGTTGGTGAGTGTTGCTGAGAATTGTATGCAAGTATGCAAAGAACCTATTACCATCTACTACCCTAGTCATTTGCGGAGGGCGAAAGCGCACTGCTGCGACAGCACGGGTGCCGCAGCAGCACCAACGGCTGCTCCAGCAGTCAATGGAGCCTAAGGTATCGGTAGGGTTTCAATCGTCTCTAGAATCTTCAGAAACCACCTGTCAGCATTGCACATCAGCAAGTCTGGTTCACGTGGCATGAACCCCTGAAGCATACAGGGGGCCGCACCTGAAGCTCAAGGTCCGCGCTGCGATTGGGTGACGCAGATGCGACCTACTCTGCATGATCAGGCTTGCAAACCCTACATGTTGTGGCACTTGCTGCACTCAGACCTGCTCTGACTGACAACAAAGGATTCAACTTGTTTAGCCGCTTATTTCTTTAGCCATGTCGACAGCCGGCGTCCCATATTTATCGGCACCCAAAATTCACAACGGAGCAAGCTGCACTCGCTAGCGCCCAAACAATTTCATATTTGCTTCCACAGCAGTGGCAAAGCAGCCCCATGGAGGTTCCTCAGAACCATGATCCAAGCAGTCTCTAGAAGACTCCACTGTGGATCTCGATACGGCGGTGTGTGGTTGCAGCTTTCTGGGTCGTAAATCGCTGACAGCAAGAGCGAGGAACGTCGGCTTGTGCCCAAAGGAAGGTTGTGGGGGGCACCGGTGTCATCTTATCTATTCTCGAGTTGGCTTGTGTTGGGGCCAAAAACGTGGGATCACTTGCACATGTATACTGGCTCGACAAGGGAGCTGTCCGAGAAGCGAGAAACCTTCCGATGATGCCATGCTTCTGCCGGGCCTTGACCAAATTGAAGAACAGTGTCCAGACCCGGCGGGATTACCGGCTTGAGTAACTAGCCAACCAGCAAGATCTGCGTGGAGCAAGTGCGGTCGCATTCGAGCTCTCTTCGCCTGTGGGGCATAAACCTTTGTTGTGGAAGGTTTTTGCTGGACCCAGCCGATGTGAGGCGAGGTCGGAGGCGAGGTCTCCCTGGATCTCGGAGATTGTGTTTAAGAGGCGGGCCGAAAAAGTGAAGTGGAGGTGACGAAGCCTGAAGAAGCTTCCTTTGAGCTGGCTGGCCGTGCTGGCCGAGCCGAGGACGAAACTACCTTAATGCCAAAAGCAATCTGCTGTCTTTTGTGGCTGCTTTGTGTGGATAGACTTTGGATGGAGCTTGTCACAAATGTTGGGAAGCATGTTAGCTGCAGCATCTATCCTGGGCGGCAGCAACAAGGGCACATCGAAATAAACCGCGCAACTCATCCGCACCATTCGGAGCATTTCTGCGAGGGGAATTTCAAGGCGAGGCCTCCACTCCACGTGCAGCTGTGACAGGGCGGGCTCGCTTGCTGCCCTTGGACAGGATGAAGCCTCAGCGAGCCAAACCTTGAGAAACTCTAGGCACTCTAAACGACATCGGGTCCTGTTCATACGAAAGTTCCCGGCAAATGAAGCCAGCGCACAGCAAGGCCAGAATGGTCCCCGCAATCTGAGCATCATCTACAACTTCTCAGACGCTGAGCTTGGCGAATGGTCTGAGCCGCCGGCCAGCAACCAGTGCCACATGCTGAGACCGTCGTCAGATTTCCCCTGCTCTT